ACATCACACGTAGGCATTGCCTAGCACAGTCAGCATGCAAATGAGGTCTTCCTTGGAATGCCCACTCCTCCAGACTGACATCCACCCTTTAAGGCAATTCAATTGTTGCATAACTCCATCCTAGAGCAAGCCCACTGCTTTCATCAGGACTGAGGACTCTTGAGAGGAGGAAGGGAGGAGGGAAAGAGGAGTAGGGCCATACACGATCAGGCTGCATTGCATGGTTAGGATAAGGGAACCAGTGATGACATTGTTGGGTCTATAATAAGGTATGTAATAAAAACAGAAAGATTAAGAAAAAAAAAGTAATTATCATGTTAAAGAAGGGAGGAGCCAGGGAAGGCAAAATATAAACGGATTACATTTTGGCTTTAATTACTTGGTTTTCCCATTGAATTAAATCCAGGCCCGGAACAAGAAATGAAATTGGCCAGGTAGGCTTTTCTCCCCGTGTGTATTTTAAGGTGTCATTTTCAATTCTGACTGAAGTGTAACCTGCTAAACAAATCTTTCATGAAAACACCCACACTGTCCTAAATAAAATACTCTGCACTGGTGCCGTGCGGACTGACTCTTTTTCTTCTCTTTAGAAGCAGACCGGAGCGCTCTGGGCTCACTGCACGAGAGTGTGTGCGTGTGTGGTCTGGCTGCTCTCCAATATAAAACAGCGAGAATTAAAACACAGACAAAAGACAATGCAGTGTTTATTGACGGATGGATTGTCAGGTAAATGCTCCCAAGTAGAGAAGAGGGGCTCGAGAATCACGGAGCCAAGAAAACAAAAACTATTAATACGAGACGTGAGAATGGTGCTGTGTACATTGTAGAAAATAAAATGAAATAGAAAGTAGAGGAAAAAAGTGAATGCTCCTTCTTGTATGGTACAGGAATTTCTGTTTTATTTCTAGGCTGCAAACAAAAAACAATGGCTTGTTTAGAATTATGTTTTATTAATATTTTAAAGCCTAACCCCAACCAATATTGAGTGGGGTTGAGTTGATCTTTCTTTTATTAAACAAAGGTCAGAGAGATCCTAACATGGTGAACCACCAATACCTACAATTAAAGTGGACCAGAACGTAAAAAGTGAAGGTTTCCTCCTAGTAGTGCACATCCTGATATGTGAGGGTGCCTAGGCACTGCTGTATCTACAGCCTCAAAGCTGTATATCTGTTGTGTGAGATCTAAGGCACTGCTGCCTCTGACTGCTAGTCTCATGAGATTTTGTCACTGCTGTGCTGCTCTCAGCGGGAGGCTCTGAGATGAGGAAGGAGATCCCTGACTCTACATATATAGCCATCCCTGAAGAAGAGAGGTTAACTGGACTAATACGGCATACCCATTTACATTACACTACAATTTATTTTGTCATACTAAATATAAAATCTATATACTTATTGCTTTCCAACAAGTTATACCTGTGCCAGCATTGAGTATATTAGCTGCACACCTAACTATTTTTGACACTGCGATTTCCGTAAGATCTCTCCCCCCTGATTACATTCATATCAAAAAAGTTGTCCACTCAGAGTGTGTGTAACGCTGTTTGTGATAATCTCATTAAAATAAAGATAGACTCTGAAAAACTTGGCCTTAAGAACTGTAGGAGAGCAATGATATTATTAAACAGGTTAAATTGCCACGGCTGTGTCTGAGTTCTATCAGTCTCTGCTCTCCGCTTTGCTAGAGGGCAAAGAAATATCATCTGCGTATTCAACGGGGAATTTATCACTGACAATAGCTCAGGAGTTATTAGCTGTATGAAATATTCCTTTCAGTTCTAAGGACATTGATACTGTGTACATTTTCTGGAGGGGCAAATAAAACCATTCGGTTAGTTAAAGCACAGCTCCACATCAAACACAAAATTTGCCCGTAGGTATTCCATGCGAGCAATACCGAATGTCTAACTCTCTTTTTAGGTACAGTGTTTGGATGAAAAAGTAATGTTCCAAATCTGTGCCCAGCCCATAGCAACCACAAATGCCTCTCATATGTGTATTGTAGATGCTTTTAGACACTGCACATAATGCAACCCCAGCCAAGCAGCTAAATACACAAAAATGCATAAATGCATAATTGAACCTGCCCAAAGATTTGTACTCTTGTCCATTTAGTCCTTCGCTTTACACAGCTCTGTACCACAGCACAGTCTCGCCTTGTACTTTCATTTACAGGTCTTCTCCTTACCATGTGGCTGGAGAATTAATGAGAAACAGAACACTGATGAGCTGATCTATCTTCCTATCAGCATTCTACTTGCACTGAAGAACACCTGATGAGCTCTTATGCAATGATTGTACCCTAGATTTTCATGAAGCTGATACTGAACTGATACTGAAATGCAGGTAATACTTGCATTGGAAAAAGGTCTTCACCTCACCCTGTGGCTGGCTGGAAAGTGAAATAAGGAACAGCAAATTACTTAGGCAGGCATTAGGAGGTAATTGGTTAAACTGGAGCTCTACTTAAATGTTTACATAAAAAAGCCTTGGAAACCTAGGCACTTGGTCATGTGATCTCTGCTGAAGAGAAGGATCATCCTATCTAAACTTGCTTCGCTTTAGCTTCCCTTCCCTTTATATTCCCTTTCTTTTCTGATCAACCTCCCCGGTCATCTACGTGGCGCTTTAATGAGACTCTTCTCCGTGATCCCATCACAGTGGAAGCTGTTATATCTACCATTTCTATTTTTATTGACACACATGCGTCGGATAACACGTCTCCCCCAATTAAGTGGGAAGCCCTTAAATGCCTTCTCAGAGGAATACTTATTTCTCATGCGTCGCGCTTAAAGAAAACCCGCGCTGCAGAACTTGCATCCTTTTGCACGTTCTATAAGGAATTGGGGGCCGGGCCGTTTTACATCGCCCGCTTTCCTAGTTCGAATCACTTTGTGGCCTTGAGGAAGCACCTTCTCATACCATCTAATATTCCCTTTCTTGATCTTCCCTTCATTTGTCATGATTAAGTTCCTCAGCCTTCTCACATGGAGCCAGTGGCGGAACTACTGTTATAGTGACCCATGCGGCCACTATGGGGCCCGGCTAGGACCATGAATAAAGGGTCCCCCTGATTCCGTGCAGGCCGCCTTGGTCGCTATGGCATCACAGGCTGCATGACTATCACTGGCAGCTGTGAGGAGGAAGATGCCACTGGTCAGATCACTGACAACCTGTCAGTGATCTGTGCAGCGGTGTGCGTTCCTCCTGAAAGCCGCTGTTGAGTCAGTGACAGCCAGCAGCTGCGTTGGAAGAGGCCGGGGCTCAGTGGCGGCGGAGAAAGACGCGGGGCCTGGTGGTGTTGGGGGAGGTGGGGCCTGGGCCCAGCGGCGACCGTAGAGGAAAAGGAGGAAGAGAGGGCCAGCGGTGGAGGAGGCTGACAGTGCATCAGGGCTGACAGGTAAGAGGTGTGCAGAGGTGTTACCAGCCCACCTGAGACCCTGCAGAGCCCACTATCCACCAGAGAGTCTATGGTGGGCTCTGCAGGGTCACTCTCAGATGGGCTGTGTGAAATATCAGGTGTGCTGTGCGGGGTCTATGGTATGTGCAGGGTCTCAAGTAGGCTGTGCAGGGTCTCTGGTATGTGCGGGGCCTCAGGTGAGCTCTGCAGGGTGTCAGGTGGGCTGTGTGGGGTCTCTGGTGCGCTGTGCAGGGTGTCAGGTAGGCTCCGCAGGACCTCTGGCGTGCTGTGCGGGGTCTCAGGGGGCTTTGCTGGATCTCAGGTGGGCTCTGCAGGGTGTCAGGCTGTGCGGGGTCTACGGTGGGCTCTGCAGCAGTAAACGGGAACGTATTCTGGAGGTAGGTCCTTTTTTTGGGGAGAGGCCCATACAAAATGTTGCTATAGTGCCCTATAATTTCTAGTTACGCCCCTGGCTGGAGCAATTTATGCTATAGTAAAAGTAAGTATTTCAGCCCCTTGCTTACAATTTATCAATTCACCCAAGAAAAAGTATTAACTTATACAACATAGAGAGCTCAACACTCAGAAATCCAGTGTGTTCTTAACTTCCTGTTTGATCTAACAACACAGTGCCTTTCCTGTACTGCTTTGTCTGCATCACAAGTTGCATTGTTATCCCACTTGTTGGACTACAGAGCTCTGCTTATCCCACCCCTCCTCCCTCTCTATGTGTATACATTAATTTCATTTCCAGCATCAGAATATTGTTGCCTTGACTATGAAGTGCCTGGGCACAAACTCTGTGTAGAGAAATGGCTCTCAAGAGATGTAGTTCTGGGGGTGTAACCAGGTCAACATGCTAGCTCCCGGCAGCAGCCCATGCAAGAATTTTACAGGCCTGGTGATGATGTCACAGGGTGTAATAACAGCTGTTTCTCACTACAGGAACAAGGCAAAATATGAATGCTTGGACATGCTCTACAGAGAGAGAGGGATGTTTGGGGTTAAATGTGGGTAATGCTTAGATATATCCTTTCAGTAATTTACCTTCAAAGCTTCCATCAGAAACCTAAATATCATATTTGAGCAGCAGGCTAGAGCAGACCTGGGCATATTATGGCCCACGGGCAATATCCGGCCCTATGTCTGTTCCTGTCTGGATGTGGTTTCGTGAAACAGACTTGCGCTCAGTTATGGCTTCCCCCACTGCAAGCCATAGCTTTGTGCTGGTCAGTGATCGGTCCTCTTCAATCATTGGTTGCTAGGACTGCTAGCATCCTAGCAACCAATGATGTCAGGGGTCCTGACTGTTTTTGTAATAGATGTTAAAATAATTGGCACTAGAGGAGGTTGAAGAAAATGTAGGCTGTGTAGTTACTACGGCAGTTGGATGTCACTTGCTGGCTCTGCTGATCTCATACTGTAGTGTTGCAGGCTCAAGGGGCCACAGGAGAAACTGGGACAGCTGTGGAGGGCCCTATTGGTTCGACCCATTAGAACAGTCCCAGTTTCTCATGTAGCCTCTTGGGAAAATGAATTGCCCACCCCTGGGTTAAAGTGTGAGAAAACAGCAGTGAGTTCCTCCCAGATGTACTTACAAGTTCTTGCTCCGAAATGCGTTAGCAAAGCTTTGCACACTGCGTAGAGAGGCCAGATCCAAACTCATGACTTCAATCTTTGCTTTGTGCTGCAATGAAAAAAAAAAGAAGAAAAATTAAAGCGTAAATGATAAATAACTGTAAACTTGGATCGGGGTATCACATTACACTTAATGCATTGTGGAATATATCCGAGTTTGCTTGCTTAATGTGAAATGCCCACAGTGTGAGTAAATCACTCGAATGGATGAGAGAGGAGCGATCACTGCCAGAGGTAGCATTGTAGCAGCGCATTTCGGCTAAATACAGAGCATAGGTGTCTAACAAGTTTATTAAAGGCTATGAATTAAAAACAGACAGCGCCAAGTATCCTTCAGTGGGTGAAGTTACACCATCCATCATATGGCTGAAGAGCAATTTAACCATTTGCTGTCAAGAAGTGTACACAGTTTTCAGCAAACAGAGGCTACGGGTCAAACAAATACAGCCCTGATCAGATATATGCCTTTTGATGTTCACTTCTGTGTGCTGCCCAGCTAACCTCCCACAATACTGGTGTTCTGTTCCTTCATTATGTTGTTTGAACTGAGAATTCCAGATTATAAAATGCATTACAACAAAGAGAAAAGGGTCATAGCCACCACTCCCTAATGTATGTGTTGTTGAAGCAAACCTTCTTTACACACATCACATAAACTCAAATGCTGATAATATACACAATCTCTTGACTAGTTGGGATTTCAGCAAGGCCCTGCATCCCTTGAAATGTGGAGATTTAGTGACGACTGAGAAGTGAACATGATGTGTATGTGATAAGAAGCTATGCACAGGACATATGGGATTTCTAGGGGTTCATTTTTATCTCATGACAGGTGTACATCAGGCACATGAATTATTAAAGCCTAATTGTTGTTTCCACAAAAACTATATGGTTAAACTAAAGGGTCTATTGATAAACTATTCAGAGAGCCATTCAACCTGCAAATCTCTGTGAAAGCTCGTTCTCTGCAAATTGATGCACAAAACGAACATGCTTAGTATATTTTCTACATAAACCCATTGTAATTTTCAATGTCATCATGTAATACCACATTATGAACCCCTGAAGGAGCTATGGAGCACAGGAAATAAATACTTCTTTCCTCTGCTCCTCTGCTCCATCTAGTGCCCATAATGTGGAATTTTACACATAGGACATTCAAATTGGAAAGAAAATGGACTGAATACTTTCATTTTGGTCTGCATTCACACAAAGAATGTTTGTGGTGTTTCAGAGGACTACTGAATATTAAGTTTGATATGTCTTACTTTTGTTTATTGTAAATCACTTGAAGCTCCAGGAGAGATGTGTTGAGATTATGTCTAATGCCCCTTTGCCTGTCACAACCTCCCAACTCCTTCTAGTGGTTACCTGTTACTACTGTGCCTATTCCAGCCTTGTCAACTGTGGGCTTATGAGCCTAGCCATACACCCCTCAGCCTGGGGATTGGTTAGTGGCGCTTTATTTAAGCTGAGCTTATAATAGTTCAGTCTAGTTTTGTCTACACAAGCCTGGACCCTGCCATAGTATATCTCAAATCTTGTACTTATCCTTATCTTGTATCACAGTCTTGTGTCAGTTCCTGTCTTGTATTGTAGTCCTATCTTGATCCTTTATCATAGTCTTATCTTGTATCTTGCTACCTGTTTCAGTCTGTATCTTTACCCTGTACCTGGCTTGTATCTTGCATCCTGTTTCTGTACTGTGTCATGCTTTCTGTTTATATCTTTATCTTGTCACTAGTCAGTACTACTGCTTTGTTCCTGGGGGCCACCTGCAACATTTATAGCCGGAGTGTATAGTCTAAGTCCTGGGATCATCCGAGTACTGGTAGGTGCACTTGCCTTAAGGGAAAGGCGGCTGCTAGAGGTGAATCAACTCACCACTATACACTCTGAATAAAGTGTCTGCATTCGGTCCTGACAAGAAGTCTGTTGCACAGATAATAATTTGGATTTGTTTGACCCGCAGGATCCCCCCTATTACCTCAACTCCGTCCCTTTGGCTAGAAGCTCTATAACAATAACCAATAGTACTAAATCTTAACCTAATCGTTGAGCTTTAACATTACCCTTTTTTATTTTAAACCCTTTACAATTACCTGAGCCCTAAATCCTAACTTTAAAGTAAAGCTGTCACAAACCTGGCCAATTCGGACTGGGTATATGATAAAAAATGCATTAGCATAAAACAATCAGGAAATCCAGAGCTATTGGCAGTTGAAGTTACACCCAAAACATGACATTTCATGTATAGATTGAGCTTTGCCCCACACCTCTCACCCTTTGAGCCAAATTATTGGTTCTTTAATGTGATGGGTAGCCTAAGTTGGCCAATAGGGAAGCTTATGATTCAGAAGCATTAGGACTTTCACAGGAAAAGTTGGAATTTGCACATAACGTCACCTACCAATATCTGATGATCTACATATTGGGGGGAATTTATCAAAGCAATTGCCACAGTTTTAGCCTCTTAGATAATTTTTTTATTTTATGTGCAAATCTGTCTTTTAACATGTGCCCCTGTTTTGACCTGGACTTGCACTACTTTTCCAACTGCACGTGTTTTGCACCAGTTTTCATCTGCACTTGTCCTGCGGCAGTCTGAAACTGGGGCATCACCTAACAAAACAATCACAACTTAAGAAATCCCCATGACCACTTCTTCAAGAAGCTTTTTGCTTTTTGCCTAGAGTTACAAGCCTTCTGTCCTGGAGTCCATTACACCTTATTTATGAACAACATTACACTAGCATCATAAATCTGGCGCAAAGTGCATCAAATATATTCCATGCAAGTTCAAACACCCGCAACTGCTTTGATAAATTCCCCCCATTGTTTTTAACATGCATTTATTCACTGAAGGTAACTTCTCCTTGTTGGTTTTGTCAACATTGTCTTGGTTTGAACTGTCCTGAGTTATGCTTGCCTCCAAGACCTTTCCATCGTCTCTCCCATCCTCTGAAACTCTCTATCCCAACCTGTCCGGCTATCTCCTATTCTGTCTGCCTTTAAGCAGTCCTTGAAAACTCAACTCTTCAGGAAGGCCTATCCCACCTCCCAAACAACTGAACTATTACTTTCTCAAACAACATATCCCTACACAGCTACCACCTATTGTATCCCTTGACTTTCCTTTTAGGATTTTTAGGGCCCTCCTAACCATCTCGTCTTGAATTGTATTGTAACTGTAATGCCTTCCTTATTATTATACAGGATTTATATAGCGCCAACAGTTTGTGCAGCGCTTTACAATATAAGGAAGACATTACAATTACAATACAATTGAAGACATGATGGTAAGGAGGGCCCTGCCCGTGGGGGCTTACAATCTAAAATATATGGTAAAGTGCTGTGAAAACTGTTGGCACTATATACATCCTGAATAATAATAATAACAATTTTATATTATATTCTTTATATATAATTATATTAACCCTAACCTTTATCTAACCCCAACACAACCTTAACCACTGCAGACACTGTACCGTATATGTGTGTAAAATGTCAGAACTGAATTTTCCCATTGCTTGTGCAAAGATCTTGGTACCAGGAATCTGATCTGAACTTCCCCTATTGACTTGTTAGTACTGTGTTTAAAATCACTGACTGTGCTCAATGAAAATGCTATTCTGAAAGAAAAAAAATAATGCCAGACGGGAATGAAAATCTTAAAAATGTTTTTACTGCTTCAATTTCACATTAACACAGAATTGTATCTTTGCGTTGCAGTATTGGTAATACAGCAATTTTTCACTGCCATTTTTCATTCTAATGTTTAAAAAAAAATGATATATTTGAAATCTGGATAAAGCATGGATACATTTGCTTGAAGTATTGCAAGAAATGAGAAGAGGTACAATGAGTTGGAGCATAAAAGCCTTCTCTGCCATAATGCTTATTATAATGGCATATAAAATAGAAGGGATAAATAATACATGACTACAGGTAAATTTATATGACAAAGAGTACTTCAACACATGCCATTACGTTTGACAACCTTCGATTTCTACGCCGGTGATGCCTCTTAATAAAACGAATTGGTATCCACTGTACCCCAGGTAAGTAACATCTGCCTTTAAAAGGTGCTTTGGAACAAAGCAAAATGGCGGATTCAGGTCTACTTAATCAATAAGCATGGATCAGGCAGACACATGCGTATATTTAAATAGCTAGCAAAAATATTTATAACAGCACTTAAACAATAAACCCGCTCAACCTGAAAGTCGAGGGAATGGGTTAAAAAGCAATTTAAAAAGGAAAGACAACATGCAGTGAAAGCTTGGCATGCAGAACGATCTTTGCATAGCACTGGTCCACAGATCACAAGAGCAAATCATTCAAACTGGGGCGCCCATAAAAATGAATAAAATTACTTTAGAAGTTTCACAATATGGGCAGCTATAAATCCAGTGTTGTCTTGTAAAAAAAAATGTGGATCCTGGAGAGATGTCATCCACCTACTGTGACCTTACATATAAATATCTGGAAAATTCACCAAGTGTCAAGAGAAGCTACTTCTCTGTCTAAAACCAACTTACAAACAATGTTCTATCACATCTGTCCATATTACTCTGTTTGCAGGTATAAATAAAGTGGTAGTTAGGGTCAGACCTTATTATATTGAAAATCCTGTAGAATATCACAAACTAGCTCCATGGGACCTCTACATGCTACTAACAAAATACTTTGTATACCATTCTCGTTATGCAGGTTGCAAGCTCTGCCTTCCATACACCTTGACTAGGTGTGGACTAGCCAAAAGCATCCAAAGCAACTCTGATGTAGCTCTGGACCAAGACAATTGCATTTTTAAATATATTTCATGATATATGCCTCAATAGTGACAAAGAATATAAATGTGTGAATCAAATGTCTTTGCAAATTATACCATCTTGTTAAAATAGCAGTGACCTCATCAATGGGCTGCAAATAGGCTGTGCAAAGAGAATTGTAGCGGGCCGGACAAAGACATGTTCCATAATATTACATACTTTGTCACTTGATAGTTAGATCTAATGCAGAGTTGTTTTTCAAGCTCCCCCTTCT